TGTTTTCTGTTTGCAATAAAGAAACAATTCAAAACTAAACATCTTTGTGGGGGGGAAAAACATTGTGCATGGCATATTCCTACATAAACTCACACAATTATTTTTCAAAATACGTTTTTGGGTGATCAAAAATGCGCCAGTAAAATGGCTTTCTAGCTTCTGCTAATCAGTGTTAACTTATAAAATGGCTTGTGAAAGTTCCTGTAAAACTGAAATCCATAGAAACATTCTAGGTCAGAAATAAAGAAAATGAGGGGAAGTTCCTGCTTGAAACACATTTTGGCAACAGAAGAGATGTTTGCTCTGCAAGCAGCAGAAAAGCCCATCACGTTCCATGAGACTGATCCACAAACCATATGAATTAAAGCATAATGATAGCTTAACCTCTTTTCCCTTAAAAGTATTTTTATAAGTTATTCTTTGCTCTGGTAGACTGTTCCATCATTGTGCTGTGAACTAATCTTGATCATAATGAAAGACAACTGAGAAATGGATTAAATAAAATTTCAGGGAAGCTAGCAATCATGCTTGTCTTAAATTAGTGTCTTTTCATAAATGCATTGAACTTTAGAAAATAGGCCAATTTATGTTTGGTTAAGTTTAATCCAATACATAAAAACCTCTACTCTAACAATAGTGGGAGAGAAATTATCTTTTTTAAGATGTTACAATATTTTTAATTTGCTAAATCATTCAAGTTATCATAATTTAGGAAGGGATAAACCAGTAATTTAAATAGAGGCAATGCCTCTGCTCTTAAATCATACAAAATCCTACACCCTCAATTTATTTATATGTTCAATTAAATTTAATCCATTTGTTATCCCCTTCAATCACTATATATTTTTGCTTTTCTTTTTTTTAAATGGCAGATTACAACCAGAATGATTTGGTGAAAAAGACATGCCTGTGTACATTTTTAATAGCAATAACAAAACGTAATGAGGGAACACTTCATCAGGATTCTCTGCCATTGAACTAAGATGGCCAATCATGAAAAAATATGTGAAAAAGCTTATTATTACTGCTCAAGAGATTCAACTGTATTTCTTTAGGATTTTCCCCACACTGAACATTGGTGAATTACCTCCTGCAGAGTTTGGATGACTTCAGTGTTTTTGTTGAAGACTGTTGTGGAAAAACTGGCTTGGTCCCCAGCTTCCTAGGATACAGGTCACTAGATGCTTAGGGAAGATGTGGCCAAGAAGTTAATCCACGCCAAGGAAAACTTTTGTCGCGAACAAAGTTTCTGCTGCTTCCCTTCGATACAGCCCAGGTTTTACTGAGCGAAGAGTCCTCAGTTCCCCAAAACAGGTAGTCTTTGACATACAAACATAATTGGGATAATAAGTGGGAAGTTATCATCCAGCCCTCTTCCAGAAAAATGAAATATCCTAGGAAATATTGAAAAGGCAGAATATTTC